AGGGGAGGGGGGGGGAGTGAAATGTTAGAAAGGGTGAGAATGAAGGTGAAAAGATATCTCTGTATGGCGTATAAAAAGTGCCTTTGTGTGGCATATAAAAAGGCGTCTTTGTAGGATGTCGTATAAGTTGTTTATGAAGATTCTTCAACTGGTCCGTTCAAGCCTGCAGCCGCTTTTGTTCCAAGTTTGAATTAACCTCATTAATTACTTATCTGCGCACCGGCTTCTTTCTACTGTGCAGTGGTCTGTTTCTGTACAGCATTGAACATAAAGGGTCATAAAATGTGAGTGAGGGTACGTGGGCGTGCGGCGTACAGAATAATGGGAGTGAGGCAAGAGAGGAAAATGGTAAAATGAGAAGCTGCCAGTTCTTTGGGTGAGTGTAACGACCAAGCACACGCCTCAACGAAGGAACAATAGGCTCAACGGATGAATTGAGGAAGATGGAAGAAGTTTTAAGAAGGCAGAGACGATGTCAGTTTAGATATTCATTTTTGGCCCCCACCCTTCCCTGACCCACGTTTTAGTTATGGTTTGCACTTTCTCTTGATGTGCAGTTACAGTGCACGATAAGAAATTCTATTCGAAAGTATTTAAAAAGTAATGCACCTTCCGATGAGTAATTCTTATTTTTATTTTAACAGTAATGTTATTGCTCTCTCACGTCGGTAAAGGCAGTCTATAAATTATTAATTCAAACTGAACTTATTATGTAATACGCCTCTTTTTTAGTTTTAGTTTTAGTAGAGGTTTTGAGGGCCCTCGCAACCGCATAAGGTCATATGAACTCCAGAGGATTAGAAGTGTTACAAGAGAGTAACAAACACAAATAAGAAGGAGGAGAGATAAAGACGATAGATGTCGCCTCTTTTTTATTTGGAGTTATCTTTACTTTTACTTAAAGAATATTCCTGTTTGCTGGGACTTCACTCCTCTACTAGCAGGTCCGGTTTTTTATAACTAACTAAACCAGTTATGGTTTTAGTTGTTGATTCTTCACACCATGGCTATCATTTTTTTAGAGTTTTCTTCTGTAACATGAAACAAATTATAAACAAACAAACAAACAAACAAACAAACAAACAAACACACGATATTTCATTCGTATCCTTATTTCTTCAGTGCATTCGAGCAAACATATATTAATGGGGAACCATTGTCGCTAAGGTGTGTTTCAGATCTGGCAAATGATGAAAATCCTTATTCCTGTTTCTTTCAGATTCCTGCAAAGGTGGTGCTCTCTTCAACATCGGATGATTTTACAACTCCTTTCCAGAATTCGCGGATCTCTTTTTCTGACTGACACCAATAGTTTTTTTCTTGCGATGACGCCGCCAGCTCAGATTGAGCTGTCTGTGAACACGGACATTCAAGGTTTTATTGGATATGGCTTCTGTTCAGGACATGGAGGGTGAGGAAGAACCATTGAGGTTGGGAGAGAGTGGTGCTGGTGTGGGCTGAGAGAGATTGTCTACATTACTGGTACTTACATAACGCGGGAATGTGCTGAAAGTCGCTGTGCTCAACGGTGTGTGCGTGCTCCCGTGTAGAGACTGATCTAGACAGGCGGTGAGAAGTTCACTTATAGACCTGCTTCTACGTCATTGGCGAGAAAAAGCTTTGGAAGTTCTCTAATTCCTAGCTTAGATACCTAAAGAACTAAACTCAGTCGAGTATGTGGGATTTCTGTATGAAAAATATGTCATAAACCCCAAACTTGCTTCATAATCGTCGTTTAACTCAGTTGAGATAAGTAAAAACTTAAGTATCATATCTTGAGAAATAGGCTAAGGAATTACTTTACACACCCGAGCCAAGCACGACGGCATTTGGCCTATTAAAAGAATAAACTTTGAAAAATTGTCAACCACCTACTTTTAAGCCAAGAGCAAAACAAATTAAAGTAGGCTTTGGATTATCAACACCTGCCAGTTCTCCGAATCTCGGGTGTCCAGGACGCCTGGCCTTCAGGGTTTGATACTTCCGGTGAGAGAGTCCGTCAGTCAGGCTAACATCAATCATTCTTGTAAAGTCGTGTGGGTCTTCAACCAAAAGCGGCACGAGATTGGATCTATTTTTATGTGTGGGTTTTCAACCAAAACTTTAAACAAGATTGGATTTGTTTTTATGAGTGGGTTTTCAAGCAACACTCGAAACAAGATTTGATTGGTTGCTTTTCTTTTTAAACTGTGGGGTTCACTTTCTGACGGGGCTGCCACAATCACCACCCGGGGCATGATCCGGGGCAAACCACCCCCAGCCCCGAAAAGCCCAACCACGACGACCTTCAGCACGACGACGAGGCGGCGGGGAGGACCCCGGAGGTGGGGCCGGCAGACACCATGAGCACGCCGGCCGTGGACTGCCAATCAGACCGCATCCCCTTGACACGCCCCCGCACGGGAGCCGTGCCCACTCTGCGGGCGAGAGTGAAGCGTCAAGCCACGAGCAGCTACTTGGGCTCCGCCGGCTGCGAGAACACGCCCACTCGCCTGGAGCAGGCGGATGTGTTCGTGGAGGACGGAGGCGACGAGAGGATCTTGCTCAACGTGGGCGGAGTCAGGCACGAGACGCACGTGTCCACTCTGAGGACTGTGCCCAACTCCAGGCTGTCCAGACTGGCCGAGACTCACCTGGACAACGGTGGCGGGAGACAGGAATACTTTTTTGACCGCCACCCGTCTGTGTTCAACTCCATCATCGATTTCTACAGAACACGTGAGTCAAAGATAAGATAAGATAAGATAAGATAAGATGCATCTTATTGTCCAAGCGCTGATATTTTGGTATGGTATTAAACTACACACACACACACACACACACACACACACACACACACACACACACACACACACACACACACACACACACACACATGAGCGCGCCTTCTTTTTTCGTGCTCCCACACCAATACACATAATATATTTTCTCTCACACATCCTTTCTTCCACATACATGTAATATATGCTTACACTCACAGACACTTAGTCACACACTTCTCATACAGGCGCACGATTCTGGAGTTTTATTTTAAAAGACAGTGTATCTAGTTTCGTAAAATGTTTAAGAGAGCTCTGCTCCCCCTCCCCCCTTCAATCTGACCCATCTTTGCCTCTCAACAGCCTGTTGCTTTGAATATCTTCAGAACACTTTCCTTGCCCTATTTATTGAGATATCAATATCTAGGCAAACGAGGCAGGGGTAGGCCCAGAACAATCTACTTGGGGAACCTAAAAAAATGGGTAACAGCTTTTTTTTAAGAACATCCGAGCAAAGAATGAATGGAGAACCATTATCGTCGATGTCTGTCGCAGATCTGACCCTTGATGATGATGATCAATATCAGACTAAGGCAGAGGTAGGCGTTGTTTTTAAACTATAAGGTGGAATCTCAAATTCGTTGAAAAATGGTTAGTATACTGTCTTTTAAAATGAAACTCCAGAATTATTAGTGGTGTATTAGTTAGTTAAACAGAAGAGTAAAAAAGAATGAATGCCAGATTACAGTGACGTTTTAATTTTTGCAGCGTAATCCGGAGGCTCCAAGTTCGATTCTAGCTTAGTCAAGTCACATGAAATTCTTTAGCATCAAGCTTGATGGCTTTCTAACACTGCCGCAGTCATATTTCTGACGGGTATTCAAACCTAGGTTGCGACTCCCGTACAAACAGTCTGTGGTGAAGTGGGTGTTAAAAATGTCTCAAACAATCACATTTGACTTTTCTCTTTGTTCTTGTCTTACTAAGATCTGCAGATCTCTTAAAGTACACAGACACCTATAACGACCAGCCGCTTTAATAAAGTCGAGCATAAAGCCAAGTGGAGGAGGAGGAAGAAGAGGAGGAGGAGAAGGAGAATGGAGGAGGGGATGTGGGCTGGAAAGGGTGACATCCAAATGTTTGAAGTTGCCACTTCTTTTTCTTGTGACTTTTTCTTCCTCCTAAATTGTGACAGATTATTTAAGCGCTCCAAGTTCACATTGACCCGTTCAGCGACAAGCGGACTGTCTAGGGCTGTCTCGGGCTGCCTCGAGCATAAAGCCCCAATAGAATTCCAAGTCTTTTCAATCATTGGTCGACTTTAAAACATCTTTTTTTCTGCCCACTATGGTTTTATTGGTTGACGTTCCTTGAATAACCTATGTGCACTCAATGAATGTAAATGGAGATTTTAAAAACCCAGAAAAGTCTCAACTGAAGTTCACTACGTATTATAAGTGTGTTGGTTAAACGTCCCTATCAACACTATAAGGCTATTTAAGAGGCAAGATGTGGAAGTCCGAATTTGACTTGTGTCTCCGATAGGACCAAGCCAAATGATGATTTAAGGTTTGGCAATGATGAAGATGATGATGATGATGATGATGATGATGATAATAATAATAACAGTAGTAGTAGTAGTAGTAGTAGTAGTAGTAGTAGTAGTAGTAGTAGTAGTAGTAGTAGTAGTAGTAGTACTAGTGGTCGTAGTAGTAGTCGTAGCAGTAGCAGTCGTAGTAGTAGTAGTCGTAGTAGTAGTAGTAGTAGTAGTAGTAGTAGTAGTAGTAGTAGTAGTAGTAGTAGTAGTAGTAGTAGTAGTAATCATGATATTCTTGATAATACCGAGAGAAAGAGAGAGAGGGTGACAGAGACAGAGAGAGAGAGAGAGAGACAGAAAGAGAGAAACATAGAGGAAGAGAGAGAAATATTGATATAGAGAACACACACAGAGGGAGAGAGAGAGAGAGGGAGAGAGAGAGAGAGAG